TAAGCTACCGCCCGACCCAAAGGGCTAAGCCGGATTCATTCATCCATCCATCTATGGCCGCTATGGCTACTAATTGCGAAAATATTTTAATTTGTCAATGTACGATAAAAAAATCCAGAACCGAATCCTTCGTAGTAAATCTATCACGCCGTGTACATCATCGTCAATGCAACGGGGGCGGGGGAGGGGGGGGGGAGGTGAGATCGACCGCTACAAAACTCTAGGGGGTGGGGTGTGAGGACCCTGAACTCCCCCCACCCGCCGTGTGTGCGCCACTACAGAAGACTGTACACACCGCTACACTGTTACCGTGAATACAATCCTCTCGGTGTTTCTTCGCATTTTGATCGGACAGTGTATCGAGGGACGCAAGATTGAAACACCTAGGTTGGCGCGTCAGATGAACACTTTTGACAACATAGGTAATTTTAGTAATGGTGTGTCATCTGTCAGTGGAAGAATGTATATTACAGAAATGACTCGCTTGTGCCAACTCTATTTCGCCGTGTACGTCACCAGCGCAACGGCGAGGGGTGGGGGCGAGAGGAAGAGGGGAGGAGGTGATCAATCTATTTACCCTTAAAAATCCTCGTTGCGGACATTACATTAAAAAATTCCTGAAAATACATATACAAAAAAAATTATTACGGAGTTGTAGGGAGGAATATAACCGCTAACCCCCCCCCCCCCCCCCCCCCGTTCCCGTGGGTGTGCCACTGTAGTGGATGCATGACGAAGCACATCTCTTCCCATTTCTGCAGGTGGCCCCAATGCCAACAAGTCCCCTTGGGCCAAAGTGCAACGTTGCTCACTTTGAAGTATCACACCATTTTTTTCTTTCATGTTCTTTTTTTATTTCAGAAAACTTCACTCCCGATTCCCCCCCCACAAAGAAAAAATCTTGTTGGTGTGCCAGTGATGAAGTGACCGCTATAAAAGCCGCACAGGCTACCATTCTGAGGATTTCCTGGAACAATTTGAGGTAATATACAAAACATGTTTACTTTGCGAATAAAAACTACCTGAAGCATCGAATTGCAATTTTTTATTCAACATGTTAGAGCATACAAAGGCTTCAAAACAATAGCACATTAGTATAAGGTGTGCCTCACTATCTGATATTGCAGTCAATCTCATGCAAAAATCAGTGCACGGGTTTAGGGAACTATTCCACGCTGGGAAATTTTGGACCCAGCTTGGAATAGTTCTATAAGCCAGTGCTTTTTGCCTGCGTTAAAGGAGGTGGATGAGGTCGACCCCAATGTGGACAGCTGCTGCGCCACAACACAGCGGCATCTCTGGGGAACCCTAAACCCCATCGTCTTCCAAAGTGCATATTGTCAAGGAGTAAGGCGAAGAGACGATAAATTATTAACTGAAAAGAAGAGTTTACTCAGCGAACATCTGCCAAACAAAATTACCAATGAGCGTCGAGACAGCAGAAAAGCGGGCGGCAATTTGGTGGCGTAATGGCAAGCGAGAGCGAGACCGACTCGACAAGGCCACAGCAGCTTCTTACCTAGAGTGTGTTGGCATCACAAAAATTCGGCCCATAAGGTTCGAGCACCGGGTGTGCGGCCTTGCCACAGGCACTTACTCCCTGAGCAAGAATAAACGCGAATCTTCTAGAGTTCCATGACCGAGCACTGCTTGTGCGGCCTTGCGCGCGCCAATATTGCGTTGGGCCTACAGGCCAGGATATCTGAAGCCACAGTATTGTTCTGATGGATAGGCATTCCTAATGGCCTCCACTACACAGGCAGGCAGGATCTTCCCGTTGTGACTTCCGAGGCGGTGCCAAATCCACCTTGCAAACTGGTGGTATCCAACGTACCTGTACCCTCTGTTGAAGGAATAGAGAATCCAGATTGAACTCAGGGTTATGAAGCACTATGGTAGACACAGCAACAGGTGGGCCGTGATGTTAACGCCCCCCCCCCCCACACCCGCATAGCAGGGGCACTACCAAGCACCATGCAATGTGAAAGAACATGTCAGCTGCCCCCACGCATGCACTGTCCACAGGTGCCCCTGCTATGTGGGCACTGGGTACATGAAAAGGCCACAACCCGCCTGTTATTGCTAACTGTTGCCGACAAAGCACAGTGTAATCATTATTCATTTGATTAATGAATAATGATTGCACAATAAATTTAATGAGCTCGGCAGACGTTGTTCGGTGTGTCTAAAGGTACGTCGGACATACTCGGAAGGTGGAGCCTAAAGGTACGTCAGACGTAACCGCGATTGGGGAAGGGTCGTGTCACTGGTACCCCACTGACGATTTTCATCCCACCTTTTTTATCAATAGAGAGTTTGCATAGACTGTTCCTTCGCTACGCTCGCAGAACAAGGACGCCTCTAGTGCGCATGAGTGGCGCTAGCTTTGCCTGCAGAGTCCCGGATCTCGTAAGGGGGTAGTGGAGAACGTTCTACGAAAACTCCCCATTACTAATCACCCGATTCTAAGCACCCCTTCTTGTCCCACCCGCGATGTTCAAAGAGAGAGTGGGAGGTGCTTTGATTCGAGAAATGACTCTTAAATTATGAAATGCGCGATCCCGAACTCTTTTTACGGGCCGCGGCGCCTCATATTGTTTACACCGTATCACACCATCGTCTGCAGCGCCGTGGTTCCCGTCGTCCCTCGCGTGCATAAGGACTTTTTGTGGGAAGCAAGGTTATGAATGCCTGAACCATGTAAACAAAAACAAAACAAAAAAGAAACGCACTCTTGAAAGAAAGAACACAGAACGCTTGCGCGGTAGCTTAAGTGGCGTTGTGTGCCTCCATCTATCACCTGATGACGAAACCGCGTGCCTGGGACCGCCCGTGAGTGCTCGACCTTGTTGGAGAGCAGACATCGAGTGTCTGCGATAATTTTTTTTCAATGTTTATGTTTTTAGTAGGGGGCTGGTACTTTAAATCGGGTGGTAGTTGCTACTTCCATGCAATAACTGTGTTTGTCGTTCGAAAATAGCGTCGGATCTGACCGTCTTTCTGCCAGATCAATTTCGTCCGAAATATGTTTAGGCCACTTTCCGGAGACGTATCTGTAGACTACCGGATCTGCATACGTCCGACATTTCTTTAGGTTCCGTTCCGGATACGTCTGATGTACGTTTAGAGGCCTCGTTCCGGATTCTTCCGACGTGCACTTAGACACAGCGTAATTTTCGTGTCAAGATCACATCTGCCCACGGTAGAATAAACGGTACTATCTTGTACAATAACAAATTGCGCACATTGTGGACTCATCACTGCACTTACCATTTACAACCTCGGACGGCTTCTTTAGAATTAGAGGCCGGTTTTACACCAAAGTGTGATGCCCTCTTGCCCTAATCTGAACTCGAATCGGGCTCCGTATGTAAGTATTGGGTTACACAAAAAGATGTAGATGGAAACCGACCAATGTGTTTGTGTTCCGAATATCCGACAGCAGCTGGATTGCGAAGGCGTTCCCTGTGGGTTTCTCTGTTCCCGACAAGCTCCCTGTTCAAGAGCTCGATCGCCCTGATGCGATACGCGATGCGATTTGGAGGATGACGGGGTTGAGGATTGCCCCGAAGAAGTCGCTGTGTTGCGTGATGCAGATGCTGCAGGCTTTGCCGGCGACCTCCTCGACCTTCTAGCAGCAGACACATTCGCCGGCCGTCGGCATTACGTGGCGGTGGCCGAAACTGCACCAAAAATTAGAAAAACAAAAAATCGGCGGTGTGTAGGCTTATACAGCCTAGAACTTAGCCTGTCTCAACGGGCGACTGTAGATGAGAAATTTAGCCAGTGCAGTACAACCGCTAGCCTGTTGTCTTTAACGTGCATCACGCAGTAGTGATACACGACCGCATGCCGGTACGATGCTCATCCAGATCTAAACGGGCAGGAGTTGGGTGCACATAGCAGCGCGGAATTTCGTATGGGTCAGTACCAGCACTACATGCAAGCTTTTCCGGTTTTTTTTCCTCCTGACGAGTTGGCTCAACAAAAAAGACAGCCAGCGGCCACTTCTAATCATGCGAGGCCTCGATCAACGAGGTAGCAGCTACGCTATTTTTGTCACGTAAATAAAGAAATCGCATGTAAATTACCAGTCCGTGTCGTTGAGGCGCGGCGAACTGTCGGGCAGCAGAAGCGGTGCGTCGACTTCATCGCTACCAGCCGTCCTCTGAGGCGTGTACGCGTGGGGTGAAAGCCCAAGCTCTTCGCAGCGATCCAGAAGTTCACGCTTGGGCGCCGGGTCCATCGGTCTCGCTGCCATCGTGGTGACGACAGGCTTGTGCACGTGTGTTCAACTAAAACACGTTGGTCGCACCGGAAATCGCGATATTTGGCCAAGTAGCCAACCCAATCCAATAAAAAAAGAGGGTGTGGCCAGCGAACTCTGACGGCTCACTTGAGGAGTACAAAAGCTTTCATCATCATCTTATAGAGATACAATTTCGGTTTCGCCCTCAAATCGAAAACTTCGCATTAAACATAAATATTGGGCAAAATATTTCTTTTCTTTCAACAAACATTAGTTTTGAGACATGCCTGTCCAAATTAGGTACACAATTTATTTTCTGGGGGGTTCAGTGTCTTTTAAACGCTACGAGGGCAGTGGCATATATACCGACTGCGTCGCGCTCTATATCGATTTTTTCAATATGCTCCACAGTAGACTGCCATACTGCTAGACTTATTTTAGTGACGAGTCCAGCCGACGTGAGTGAGAAGTTAAGGCATGTTCAGCGATCGCTAAACAACATAAGTTGACGTTTCTAGATGGTTCGATTGAAGTGGTGAATCATTTACATGAGAAGGACGACAAGTCATATAATTTCTTGGATGTTTATAAAGATAATATAATAAAACAAAATTTTTGTAGATTTATTACCTGTGTTGGTTGGAAAGTCTTAATATTGAAAAAGAAAACATAGCGTTCTTATTTAATATTTATTGTTTTAAGGCTTTAACCCCCAAAACCATAAACATCGTGAGCTTCTTTTGAAGTGTACCTTTTTGTTGTATTCTGGTTTCTCAGAAAGCAGTGCGAGCATCTGCAGTGCTCCTTGTGACCACCCGACGTACTGAAGTTTTTCTTTACCCGTTTCCCTCAAAACAGTATCAATTATTGATGGTAAATCGTCGGAAGCCGTTTCGTCAATGCTGAAAAAAAAAAGAGGAACACGTTTACAAATCTCTGTAATTCGAAAATAGAGCGCAGCAGCCGAGGAGGAGCAGGAGAGGGTACGAAGGGGAAGGTACGCCCCCCCCCCCCTCCTCCGTACCTCCCCTCCTCCTCTCCTCTTCCTTCTTTTCCTCTCCCCTGCTCCTCTTCCTTCTTCCTCCTCCCCTCCTCTTTATCTTCCTTGCCTTCTCCTTCTTGCCTCCTTCTATCCTCTAGCCCCTGAATTTGTTCATGGGGGATCATTTCAACAACAACAACGTAAACTCAACTGAAGTTTATTCGAAAAAGTACGCATTAATATTCCCTACCTCGCACACACAAACGGTCCCTCTAGCTGTGAGGTGACGGGTTTGCTAACGGTATTTAAGTCATGTTGCCATTAATTGTCCTTCACGCGTGAAATACCTAAATATGGGATAAATCAATTCCTCTACCTCAAGCTTAGCTGTTTAGGGGAGCATATTTTCTGGACGTGTGCACCTATATCAAGGAAGGGGATTCTTCTTTATGACTCCTGTCATTCAAAGCTCGTGAAAAGAGAAATCGCGAGCGCGTGTTTAGAAGCGTTCCTTAAAATGTCTTGTCCGCAAAGCGCACAAGATAGCTTTGTGAGACAGGTAGACCGATTGCGGAGGGGGGGTTTCCCATTGAGCTCATTGGTCGAGGTAGGCGGGAGCCTGATAAAGAAATTTAAGGCATCACAGAAACCATCCTGCGAGATAAGACCTCAACGGCCGCTGGTCATTCCCTATCAGTGTTGCGGAATGGGCACCCCCATTCCATCCCAATTCCATTCCGGGGAATTAGAGTTTTCGATGATTCAATTCCTTTCAATTCCTAGGAATGGGGCCACTGGGCCCATTCCCACTCCTGGAATGGCTAAGTCGTTCCATTCCATTCCTCTAATTCCTAAACGTAAAAATTGGGACTTGACAGCTACATTTCGCAATGTTTCCGGCATAAGCAGCATAAAGCTAACATTGTCAAACACATAGACAATTGCAAAAAAAGAAAAAAACGCTAAATGCCTCAAAAAAGCACTAATATTACTAAGCTCACGGTGCTGGATTGCCTGGAGCGAAGCGAGCGCAGCGATCCATCGCAGGTGAAACAAAGTATGCAGAGACTAAAGTCAAAGGAAATGAGCGGGCATCCGCTAGCTTGTTTGTAATCCCAACCCACTTGAATGTAACACATATAACACAAAAAACAAGCATTGGAACAAACACCAAGTAAAAGGTAGACTTACACGTAAAAATGCAGTATAAAAAAGCAAGCGTCGGAGCAAAGCGCAAGAGGAGAAGTGAGAAGTGAATCTCGCCTTTTTTCGCACTTCAAAGGAGTGCGCGCGAATGAACGTGGAAGGCAGCAAGGTTGGCAACCTGCTAAACAACGCTCCTTGAACTACAAGAAAACAATAACCGATCATCTTTCTGCGGCGGCGTGCGAGTCAGCGAGTTATCAGAGCTCTGCGAGTTATGAGTCGCCCCCCGCTCCAAGATCTCAGTCTGTGCGCGCGCGTGCATTCTCCATGCCGTCGCAAAAAAAAAAAAAAAAAAAAAAAATATGTAATGCAAGAAGCACGATGAGGAGCCGCGCATGGTGGCTTCTTTGCCGCTTCCTTCGCTTGGTGCTTGGTTTCTTGTTTCGCTCTCGTGTAACACCAGTAAAGCCCGCCGTCTGCGCGTCCGTGAAAGGCGCCACCGCCACACCCCCCCCCCCCCCCCCCCCCTTTGGTCTTTGCTCTGACGCTTGTTTTTTTTGTATTTCTAGCAGTTTCCCGCACATTTTTTTTTCTGAACAACTGACTCGCTGACTGGCTCCGTTTAGCTGAACGTAACCCCCCCCCCCCCCCCCCCACCCTCAAAAGAAAAATAATAAAAAAAATATTAATAAAGAACCCGGCTCATTCCATTATTCCCATTCCATTCCGGGCAAATGACATCTAATTCCATTCCCATTCCATTCCCCTGAACGTTTCCGCCATTCCATTCCCATTCCATTCCGGGGTCGCGAAAATGCGGAATGATTCCGGAATCATTCCAACTCCGGAGTGGCAACTCCGCAACACTAGCTGTTCCCTATGTGCACGGCGTCGCACACAATCTTAAGAAGGTAGCTCAGCGTTACAGTCCCGGTTGTGTTTTCAGCGCCTAATGAGATGTCGCGATTATGCCGAAGAGTCAACGATCCACAGCCGATCATACACCCGCGCAACACTAAGCATAGGAACAAGTACAAAGATTGGACGACTTGTGTCGTGTATGAGATTCCGATGAGGTGTGGGTTAAGCTACGTAGTGCCACAAGCAGATGTCTAAATAATCTGGCAGCGAACTCGCAGCTTCCACGAGGACGACACCGTCAGGGCATTTTGCCGTTCATTGCAGCAGATGCTCTCGCAATCCGCAATTCAACAGTACACAAATTTTGGCAAAAAACATAAACGAGGTGTCATGCAAACTACACGAGGCTTTCGAGATTAGGGCTAAGGGAAGCAACTGCGTCAGCGAAACCTCTTTGGCCCTATCTACGGATCAGTATGAATATTTGAAACGTGAGTTGGGCAGAGATTGATTGATGACTGTTCGTTCCCGTTGGGAACATTAGTGCGTATTTTTTTGAATAAACTTAAGTTGAGAGTGCGTCCTGTGTCGTTGTTTTCTTCGTGTCTCGGTCCGTGTTTTTTCGCTGTTTTATACCATTTGCAATGTACCAACTGGCCAATCTAAGCACTTCATTTCGTATTACAAGGTTATTAAAGTATTTCATGTGCAGAGATATATATTTTAAGGCTAATCTAAAGTCTTATATTGTCAGATGGTTTTTGTTAGTACTAAAACAAACACATCTTTAGAAAAATATGAGATTCCCTACGGTTATACTTGACGCTGTTAGTAAAACGACCACAAGAGTTCAATAGCGTTATATAAGAGGACTTCAGTAAAATAATATTATTATAAGAAACCAAAGGTGTCACTATTACGCAGCATATTTGAGTCATGCATACTTAGCTTTCCTTGTTATTTGTAAAATAATTTTCAATCGCACCATTAGACACCCCACCTCGTATTCTTACAATCCGATAGAAATCGAGAGCGCCTACGTTCCCGGAAAGAACTTGGTAGAGCCAATCACGGAAAACTGTAAACAACAGGGCAAATAACGAGGTTAAAACTAACTTGAGACCTCAAGAAACTGTGTGTGTTTCGGTTCAATGCCCTTTCGCATGCTGTATTTTTTGTATAAACATGTGTTTCGGCTCCTGTGAGTCCTATTTAGTTCAATTGGTTCCGCTCCTTTTCGCATCTCCTTATACGGCAGGTAACCGTACAGCAATAGCTCACCTATGCTTCGTCATACCCGGACAGAAGCTCACTCGTCTTTCGGTGGACAAGGACAAAAGCTCACATTTTTGTCTTTTGGTAACCCGGATGAAAGCTTAGTTGGGGCCAAATGGTATTGGCTAAAGTTTGGTCTAAAGGATAAGTGATTCGACGTTAGTGACCCCGTGAATTATCATATACTTAAAATGATATATCTTCGAATCCGGTTGACTAAAAACCGAGGTAGAAGATATAGAGCTTGTGCTGGGGGTTTTCCTTATGTTAGTCGTATTTGTCCGAAATTTGTATAGCGCGACTTTGCGACATCGCTAGTTGAACTTGCATTTGCTACTACGTTGGCAAACATAGGCGCCCAACAGCTTCTGCTTATGATGGAACAATAGGTTCCACAAGCTTGTGGGACATGGCCATGTAAGTGCCTGAAGGCTGATAGAATGTCTTCAACAGGAGTAAGCGTTTGTCACGACAGCTTTGCTGCAAGCACACAAGGTGAACCCCAGGTGAAGAGGGTTTTGAAATGCAACAAAGGGCCTTCAGGATTGCCCGAGGAGCTGTCTGTGGACGACCGGGTTCATAGAGTCATATTAAAACTGCTCCAGGCAGTGTGAGGCGGTATTCACCTTTATAATGATCATCCGTGAACATATCGTTTTATTCATGAGACATACCTTTCGCGAGTCCTGCATACGTTTGATAAAAATCGCTGTTTAAATTTTCACGGTATTTGCGCTCATGTACAAAAGAAAACAATTTTATGCAGGTAAGCTTTCGTCCGCGTTCACGAGTAATATCGGTGAGCTTTTGTCCGGGTACTCGAGAAATCCGGTGAGCTTTTGTCCGGTGAGCTTCTGGCCGGGATTTCTAGCGCCAAGCAAAGGTGTCAGAATTCGGATCGCACGTTCCGGGCTCCCATTCCCCTCGGCGCCTCTAAGTAAAATATGCTAATTTGTATTGGCTATGATTAATTCTGAATTCGTTTCCCTTCGGTATATGTTTTGTATGCTTATTTTTTGCCCCACATTTGCGTTATATGCCTTATTTTGCCTTAGCCCGCGCGTTACGGTTGCTTTATTACAACTCGCTTCACATGAAATCCAGTTCTTACACATATTTTGCGTTAAACAAACCAAGCATCTGCTTAAGCTTCCCCCAAGTATGTTCCTAATCTCACTTTTTCGGTGCTGTTTTCAACAGAGACGTGCGCTCGCTTCTACGTTACCGAATTCAAAAACTAAGCTACCGAACATTTTATTACGTGAAAACAAATTTGACGTCAAATTTATTTTTATTTTCAAACACGCTGTTCCTGAGGGAACGTTAACTACAAAGTATATATTCTCTCTAGAGCAAACGAGGATAATCGTCATTGCACAAGGTAGTCAAGTTGCAAGCTTTGTCTCTGATTGGCTTATGGGTGTAGGATAGTTTTGTTACCGTAATCGTTCTAGCTTACCGTAAGAATACATTTCAATAAAATAAAACTCCGGTCAAAATTTGAAACAACGCAAATGAATAATATCGATTTGCGGAGACTGGATACGAGCACGTCCAGAATATTACACTATAAACAAACGCTATCCACTTGAACACCGATATTAAAAGTGCTACCACCAGCTTCTCAGCGGACTTTAA